CTCTGCACATGACATCTACATATCCCGCAGGCAGCTGTCTGTCAAAAGATAACCCCTTGTAGACGTTGGTGATACAGCCGAGGGGAACATTTTTATTCTTCATTCAAATTGTTCTGGGTCACCTGTGATGCTTGGTTCTGACTGACTTCCTTTTCGGACTATTTTGGCTACCTGTGCAGGTGGAATATTTGTACATAGAAGCTCGACTTGCTGTCGTTTGGCGGGGTAGACGAGTAACTTCACAAGATGTCATCGCCGAGCTTCGAGTGGCGCCCCATTGCATTTCTGCGAGACAGGCAGCCCGATGCCGAGCCTGCTGCATTTGCTCTCATCGTTCTCAACCAGCCACTGAAGCAGACCCCGGTACTTGATTTGTTGTGGCAGAATGGTACGATTTGATATCTGATATTCTTCATGCGGAATACTGACGCCTTTCGCAGCCATCGTAAGAGTTGCTGCGGATGGTGGCGCGAATCGACTTCTTGATCTGAGCAAAGCGACACAGTCGCAGTCGCAGTCGCAGACCACTCCTTATGTTCGTTTGAACCTCTGAGTGCCGACGTGCGCCGTTCTAATCGCTGCAGGCCAATCTTGACGCCATTATCGGAGACTTGGACTCGTTAGATCCTGTTGCCAAAGACTTCTACACCAATTTGGAAAAGCCCGCCCAGATCGTGCATATGCCCGACCAGATTTCGACAGATTTCGGCAAGTCTATTCGTTGGATCAGATCACAACACCCCAACGTCGACATTGTTGCCCTTGGAGGCCTCGGCGGCCGAGTGGACCAGGGCCTCAGTCAGGTACACCAGCTATATCTCTCGCAGCCAGGACCAGGGTATGATGAGGGCAAAATGTACTTGGTGTCCGGCCAGAGCTTGACCTTCCTGCTGAAGCCAGGAATCCACAGCATTAAAGTGCGGGAGGGCGGCGAGGATGTCTTTGGAAAACATGTCGGCATCATTCCCATTGGAGGAACGAGCTACATCACCACCGAGGGGCTCGAGTGGGATGTTGTGGACTGGGAAACCAAGTTTGGAGGCCATATGAGCACCAGCAACCACGTGCTACCCGAGACAAAGGTGGTCAAGATCGGGACAACAGACACTGTGCTTTTCACGATTGCCCTCGCGGGGATTGAATAAACCAAAGTCGACTGTCGCTTGCTGTACATGGTGTTTCTTAATACTCGGCCGCCGACACCAAACGCCATGCCCCTGAATGCCCTGAGATGTCGCAGACTTTTGATTGCCGCCCCAACGCCACGTAATGAAGAAACAAACGATTCATCGCAGGAAGTGTAGGACCAGCCAGCAGAAGAGGAAGAAGACAATGACGCCAGCCCAGAAAATCCACTTGTCCTCCTTCGCACGGCGCTCGATCATGCGGATAGTGTCACCGGAGATGCCCAGCGTATTGCCGACTGAGTATAGCCTCTTTTGGGTATTCTTGAGCATCTCGCGCTGTGTTCCAAGGTCGCCGAGGACAGCCTGGCCGCGAGCAATGTACTCGTCCAGTGCTGAATTCGTTTGCGCAAAGAAGTTTTGCTCCCGCAGCGCGTGCTGCTCTCTCGTGACATCGTTTCCACCCATACTCAAACCACCGGCCTGGCCTCCTGTTGAAGCGCCTCTGCTGTGGAACGAGGACGACTTGTTGACGTTGGCGTAGGGGTTCTCGGGTGTCGAAGTGACATAGGCTCGACGACCCAGTAGCTCGCCTCGGTTGTTGCTGTGGACGGCATCTTCGCGCGCCTTTTTGAGGTCGTCGACTTGGGATCGGAAGTCGGCCAGGTCGTCGCGAAACCGCTTGACACGCTCGAAAGCCTCCTCTTGCTTCTTGGGGACGAGCTCCTGGCGCGCAAGCTGGTTGTACTCGTCGATGGTCTTGGAGAAGGAGGCGAGGGATGCAGAGACGTTGCCGATCTCGGATGGGGTCAGGGCGACGGCTTGGGCTGCGGAGTCGGAGAGCTTCTCAAGATCTTTGCGGATGGCCTTGCTTTGGCGCAGGGCCGAGTTGTACTGCACGTTCTACAGCTAACAGTTAGCAGCGCAGGCGCAAAACAGGTGCTTAGGGTTGCGACTAACCATACTGTTTCAGTTTGCGCAAGGCGTCTTTTCTGGACGAGTTCCCGCGAAATCCGAAGAAAGATCAAGGACTAGACTTGTAGTTGGACAGAAAGATGTTCGAATGCGCAGCTCCCCTTTGCCTTGCCGAGGACAAGCTGGAGCTCAATCTACTTACAACAAGTGGCTTCTCGGGCAAGGGAGACGCCCAGGAAAACACGTCACCGCCTTCCAATTCGGAAGAAGGGGCAGCCCAGTGCGACAAGCCGTGTGGAAACAGTACAAACACGATGCGGGATGCACGGTCCTTCCCGGAAGGCAATCGCGACGGCGAGGGTCCTTACCTTTCATACCTTATTTCCAGCATCGTACATACTGACAGTTCCTATATCGACATCCACTTGTCCATTTGCTCTTTCTAGCACCTGTGGTCAGTCCTTTTCGGCTTGCATCATGCGTGCTTACATGGGATGCGCTGCGAACCAGCATTTCGACCGAAGTGCTCTTACATGTTCGCCGATGGCGGACCGCTAGTAGCTTCACGAGCACCGGGACTCTTCATGATTGCATTTTGGTCACAGTTTGACGAAATCGGACTTACCGCCAGCCTCGCCCGGTACAACAGAAACCAAGCACCGGTGCATTCAGGAACCAGACGCTTAATCCCAGAATGGCCCGCCAACGTGATACCGCCGTGGAGAATACCGTCTCCATTATGGCCACAGGATTCCGAAGGCGGTCGCCGACTCGGCACCGACCTGCAGTGTCGCTCGGTAGTGATGCCGCCCTACTGACCAACAATAGGCCATGCGAGGCGATGATCCATTATCTCATCGCCGTCGCTGTTTAGCGAGATTCTTAGCCTCAAATGCCATTTTTTCCATAATCTCCTAAAGTCCTATTGCCGGACGACGATGCGACTATAATTGGACCTCATCCCGCTCTCCATGGTCCATCCTCTTGGCATGCAGAAGAAGCAAAACCACCATCAGCCCACCCACGATGTCTAGACCATCAAGCCCAGTGCCCTCCGAGAAGTCAGTACCGCCCACCGGCTCAACCAAGTCGGGTCTGGAAGATGTTGAGGCCACAGCAGCACCGCCTTCAGAGCAACCAGAGCAACCTCCACGATATTCCATTTACACGACATGGGAGAAACGCTTCATCGTGCTAGGTGCCTGTTTGGCCGCCTTCTTCTCTCCTTTCACCGCCCAGATATACCTGCCCGCCCTGACGGTTTTGGCCGAGGATTTCAACGTCTCTGACTCCGACATGAATCTCACCCTTACGACCTACATGATCTTCCAGGGTATTGTACCCATGTTCATCGGTTCGCTAGCCGACAACAGCGGCAGGCGACCAGCCTATGTCATCTGCTTCGTCGTTTACATCGCCGCCAATATCGGCCTCGCCTTGTCACAGAACTATGCCTCTCTGCTCGTCGTCCGGTGTTTACAGTCGGCCGGCTCGAGTAGCACAGTTGCACTCGCCTCCGCCGTCGTTGCCGACGTTGTGACAAGCGCAGAGAGGGGCCAGTACATTGGAATAACCGTTGTTCCAATCGTTCTTGCGCCTGCGCTTGGCCCAGTTCTCGGTGGCATTTTGACACAGTTCCTGGGTTGGCGGGCCATATTCTGGTTTCTGGCCATCCTCTCCGGCGTATTCTTCATTGCCCTGCTACTCTTCTTCCCAGAAACCTGTCGAAGAATTGTGGACGACGGCTCCGTTCGACCCCCGCGACTGTACCGCACCGGCTACCAGCTATTGAAGGACTACTTCAGATCTAAGAGGACCCATGGCGACGAAATCACTAGAACAACAACTGGAGGGACATCGAACACCGCAAGACCATCTCTTTCGTTCAAGATCAACCCTTTCGCCTCCCTCATGCTTCTCTTTCACAAGGAAATGGGCCTTCTTTTGGGCTTCAGCGCCATCGTTTTCGCCGGGTTCTATGCCATCGCCGCTTCGATGCCAACCCAATTCGCGCAGCTGTACGGCTTTGACAGCTTGAAAGTTGGGCTCATGTACCTGCCGTTGGCTGGAGGGTCTGTTGTCGCGGGGTTCGTTGTTGGACCCCTTATCAACTGGAACTACCGTCGGCACTGTAGGCGCCTGGGCATCCCGTACGATAAGTCTCGTCAGCAGGACCTGTCTGATTTTCCCATTGAGAAGGCTCGCCTCGAGATAGGCCTGCCTTTGCTGTTCTTCAGCTCGATCCTGCTCTTGATTTGGGGATGGGTTCTCCAGGTTGGTGCACCGGTAGCAGTTCCCTGCGTACTCCTCTTCCTCTTTGGAGTCGGAATGATCGGCTTTAACAACACCACCAACACTCTCATCGTCGACATTCACCCAGGCAAAGCAGGCACAGCTACGGCGGCAAACAACTTCACTAGATGCCTGCTGGGCGCCGCTGCGACCGCTGCCATCTTGCCCATGATCAACGGAATGGGAGTTGGCTGGGCTTTCACGCTCCTGGCTCTCCTTTATATCGTGTTTAGCCCGTCTTTGCTAGCCGTCATGTACTGGGGAGTCAAATGGCGCAAGGCAGCAAAGGAGAAGGAGCTGAATAAGAAAGGCACTGCTTGAGAATTGTGATACCACCACTGATTGCATTTATGGCACGTAGCATGATACCCGAGACATTTATATAGAAATTTGACCAATGCAAGATCTCGCCGAATTTTCAACCCCGCCCCGTAGCATGATTTTCCTGGGGCCTGTGTTGAGTGACTGGTTCTACATCTCGCTGCTGCCTGTACGCCCTGCCGTTGACACCAGAATCGCGGGGTTGAAACGAGAACTTGGCAGTCAGCGCGCCACGGCCAACCTCCCCTCAGCCCACCGCTTCATTCATCCTCAACTTCAACTCATCACAAAATCGACTTCCCATCTCACTCCCACTTACGAATCCTCCAGTCATCTCACATACACACCATGGAGAAAGATCAAGACACTCACCCAGACGGGAGCAAGACGCTCACAGCCCAGTGCTACTGCAAAGCCGTCCACTTCACAATCACCGTCCCGACCTTGTCCCTCCCGCTCAAAGTCCATTTATGCCACTGCAGCATCTGCCGCTACACCCACGGCACACTCTGCATTTTCCATGCACCACTCCCATCCGGCGTCGCCCCGTCATTCATCTCACCGTCCTCGCTCTCGGCCTTGACCGCCTACCGCCACGCCACTGCATCAAGCACGCGCTACTTTTGCAGCACCTGCAGCTGTCACATCGGAGACCAGGGTATTGAAGACGACGACTGGGTCATTTCTGCCTCGATACTCGATGCCAACAAAGACGATGTTCCCTCGGTATGGGATATTAGGCAGCATGTCAACACGCACTCGGCGCTGGGAGGGGGGCTCTACGACTGGCTCCCAAGTATCGCTGGCAAGGAGTTGAAAGTCTGGAACCCGAAGCCAGATACGAAGCTCAAACTTCGCAGACCTGAAGTTGGAGACGACGGCAAGGAAGTGCTTCGGGCCCAATGCCACTGCGGAGGGGTATCTTTCACCATCTCAAGACCATCAGCCGGCGTCGAATCGTACAAGGACTGGATCTCGCCCACGGAACCGAACAAATGGATGGCCGGAACAGACACTTGTGGCGACTGCAGACTCCAGACAGGCGCCCACATCACCGGCTGGGCGTTCGTACCCCAATCTTGCATCGCGCCCCAGGTTCCCGAGGACCTCACACTCGGGACCTCGAAGATGTTTCAGTCAACGGAGAAGGTGTCTCGTTCCTTTTGCGGAGTTTGTGGCGCCTCGGTCTTGGCCTTCTACAGTGGTCCAGAACGCGCTCTCGTCAATGGCGACAGGCTCTTCAATGTCGCCGTGGGGCTGTTTCGGGCTCCGGAGGGCGTTCTGGCGGAGGACTGGTTGACTTGGAGAACTGTCAAGGTCGGTTGGGCAGAGAATGGGAAGCAGTATGACTCCGCGCTGGTAGAGGCATTGGCTGAAGGTACCGCGAAATGGGGCGAAAAGCACGGAGACAAGGGGAAGATTCTGGAGATGTATCCCTAATATCGTTTATTGTCACCAAAGTCTGAACGAAGTTCTTGCAAAGGTTCATCTGGAACTATTCTTTCCTTCGATCCGTGAGATCCGCTTTCTTTGAGACTTGAATGACAACCTAAGCTCAGGCAAGCTGGGCATAGGTCTGCATGACTCTTTCTCTCTCCCGCTCAAGGAACTCATCAAAGGTAGTCATAGTAATACCCCAACTTCGAGTGTTCTCCTCATCCGCGAACTGGTCCATGTCGCGAGCGGCCAGCTGCCCAGCAATGAAAGGATTCCCAGCCTTCTGGGAGTCGATCTCCTCTTCCGTCAAGAAGACCGCCCGTATGTCCTTTCCACTGGCCTTGGACAGCTTCGCCATGATCTCATCCACCGTCAGCATCTCGGATGACAGGGGAATTTCCTGGCGACTGAATCTCGTAGGATCCCGATAGGCTGCCAGCGCAAACCCCCCAATGTCATAGGGATCCAGAGTCGGTATTTTAGAGGTCGGTTTGAAAGCATTTGCGAATCTTCCCTTGTTAATCAAGTCCGGAAAAGGGGCAGCCTGGGGAAGGAGGTAGTTTGACGAAAAGCTTCCCGGTCGTAAGACGGTCCAGTACTCAAAGCCAGCCTCTCGGACCGCCTTCTCGATGGACTGCTTCGAATGGAGAACCATGGAAACAAAGCTGTCTGGGTCACAGTGCTCCAGCTTCTCGGGTGCCTGAACGGCGAAACCGCTGCTGTAGATGAAGTGGACGGCGCCGGCCTCTTTGGCAGCTGCCATGATTCGCTTCGCGGTGCGGAGCTCCCAGGTGTGGTCGATGAAGTCGGGCGTCAGGTTGAGAAAGGCACCGTTGACGTTCTTCATCGCATCCTTGAGGGGCGCATCATCGTCGTAGCCGCCTTTGGTGAGACGTGCGCCGAGATCTGCGAGGGCTCTGGCGGCTGGCGAGTCAGGATCACGAACGAGGGCATGGACGGCGATGTTGGCTTTGAGGAGGTTATGAGCAACTGCGCCGCCGACTGTTCCTGTTGCACCGCTGACGAAGATGGTTTGTTGAGACATGTTGATGGTGTCTGTCGACGTGGACGTAGATTGAGTGTGACCCTTGGATGCCCAGGTAGCTTTGATGAAACTGGACGATCCGTTTCCGTCATCGTAGTATTTACCAAAGTCCTATATACTACGTTTCAGCAATCAGTTCTTGTCATCTCACGTGGTCGATATCCAGCTTACATACCCTTGGCGGCTTTGCGCCGAAGGGACTTATGTTGCCGGCCAAGAAGGGCGACCGACAGGATGATGCGCGGAGCCACGCCCCGGAGAACATATTGTAGGAGACTGCCTGCTTTTCCTGGGCTAGAGCGACTATTTCACCTGCGGAGATATGATCTAATTTGCTGCTATGGTTGTTATTGCTACTGTTATTGTCGTTGTCCTCGCCGTCATGCAATATAGTCGTCGTTAGTCGTCGTCACTACCGTTATCGCTGCTGCCGCCATTGTCATTATCATGTACTACTTCTAATACTATACTTAACGGTGTAGAATTTCTCTATTGTAGACCTCCATATCACCGAATATAAAAATCAAGTTGACCTGTACGGGTTGCCGGGAAGAAGTTGGTGCGGGGTGACAAAGAAGTCGGTCAAAGGATGAAGGATGAAAGTCTTGGTGGTGGAAAATGATGGCGGAATCCCGCCAGATGACTAAGTCAGCGGACAAACAGCACAGAAATGACTTGCTCAGCGCTTCTTCAGCGCTGCAAATCCCCTGAAGCACTCCATCTCCCTGCCTGCAGCATCGCCGCCCGCATTCCGCTACATCTCAACCGTTTACCCTTCACATTGACATCGCGAATTTAATTCATTCAAGGTTTTGACATATCAGACGAGAAATCTCCGCATATCAGACCATCAAATGTCAAACTCATTCTTCGAGCGGGCCAACCCGCCTCCGCGGCGGAAAACATGCGTAGCTTGCACAAAAGCCAAGCGACGATGCGACCACGGCCAACCCTCATGCTTGCGGTGTTCGCGGCGGAAAATCGACTGCGTGTATCCAAGTCCGCCGTCCGCCAGATTGAAGTCATCGGCAGCACACCATACTCCGCAGAGCTTTGGATCACCTCTGCCGGAAAGCGACCCGACTCCCGCCGCTGCGACCCCTGTTCCCGCCACTCTGGACGCTTGTACGGATACTTCTCTTGTGTCGTGGTCACAGGGTCCAGACCTTCTTCCGCTGGATCTAGAGGACTTGGAAGATGTCAACTTCGATGTTGGGTTCGAGGATTTGATCAATACCGACGCTCTCTTGGATGGAGCATTATCCCTGCCGGTGGCACTTACACCCAAGCCCGACCAGATGTTGGTGCCCTCTCGCCACCATCCGCAAACCTCTCTGGAGGAGATGATAGCAAGCAGAATCCAGTATGCTCTCGACGTCATCAAGAAAGTGCCTTCATCTATGGTGTCTGAAAACCAGACCCCATGGTCACATCCCTACTTGTACAGAGCTTACATGCCCAGGGAGATGCAAGGTATTTCACTTCGCGGGTGGTCATGGAGCACTACTAACAATATTCTCGCCAGATGCACAAGCGTGCTGTGCTTTATATGCTGCGAAGAACCAATACAACGCCGCCATGATCCTGCGTACTATTCAAGCCAGGGCACATGAGGTCCTCGCCGCTCCGCCGCCCAAAGGCAGGCTTGAAGCCCTCGCGCGCCTGCATGCTATACTCCTTTACCAAATCATCCGCATCTTCGATGGCGACATTCCCATGCGGGCTTCAGCCCAACAAAGCCTCACGGCCCTCGAGCCCGCGATGCTCGCTCTGCTGCCTTTCGTCAAATGGGAGTCATCTCAACCAACGACAGGTCCAGCAGAGGACCAGTCATTCTGCCCCACCAAGGAGTTCTGGCAAGAATGGATCTGGCAAGAGTCAGCTCGTCGCACCATCTTCTTCACGTGCTTCTTTCTCATCACGCACCAGATGCTGATAGGACGAGAGCCGCCCAATGGGTGTTCGGACAGGTATATCTTCTGCCAGTCATGGACCATGTCAGCTCACCTCTGGGGCGCCCCGAATGTTGTCGACTTTGCCATTGCTTGGAGAGAGAAGAAGCACTTTGTGATTAATCAACAGTCCTTCAATGAGGCGTTGAGGGATGCTTCCGCGGATGATGTTGACTTGTTTGGCAGGATGCTGATGGTAGGAGCTCTCGGCATAGATGATACGAGGCTGTGGTTCTATAATCGAGGCGGCACAATGTGATAGAAATGCATTTGGGTTAACCTCCACGGAATCTTGACTTTTGGTAAGCAACGTCGACGACATCCTGCTCTCCTGCAGTCTCCACTTGAGGTACGCAGTTCCTCAAGAAACGCCCACCTCTACCATATGTAATTGAATGCCACTCGGCAGGGAGGCTTGAGCAAGGACAGGTGATCCAGCAAGCCAACGGAGATTTTCTCAGCAGTTGAAGACAGTCGTTCACATGAAATGGAAAGAAAGATGGAACGCAAGTCTCGTTCTTATCGTAAAGCTAGCTAATTGCCTCTCATTGGGCTTTCCTGAGCACTTAGTGCTTGCCACGCATACTCAACGACCAAAATCAAAAGACCAATCAATCTTTCCCAAGATCTTCTGTCGGCGGTATGCAAACCGAACCCTCGATGTCCCTCGCTCACCACTTCTGAAGGATCTTCGCGTGAGCATCTTGCTGGCTGGAGTTGGGAATGCATCGGAGTTCATCCAGGCCGGGCTGATCCTGATCCTCGCACCGAACGAGCTTGAATTGCTCGATACGACCTCCATGCTTGTTGACCGAGGTAGTAGCGAGCTTAACTTGGTAGAGGCCATCGTAGCGAAAGCCGACCTTGGGGGCATACTTGAAGAGCATTTGCTTGCCCTTTCCGGCGGCAGCGCGGATGACTCGGACCATGTTTCCAGTAGTAAGACTGGCGGCAAGGGCCTTGGTGCCCGTAGTTCGGTCGGGAACTTTCTCAACATCTTGGTGGCCTTCGGAGCCCGAGCCGGAATACCAGACGACGTCGCCATTGTCAATGTCCGTGGAATCCGAGGTCGGCGAGATCACAATACTGTAGGCGCCGCGGGTGATATTGCCGTGGATGCCGGCCTGGGATTGTCCATGGGCGCCACGGAACACAGCAGAAAGCTGGCGGGGATACTAGGCCCCGACCTCGAGACCGTTGTGTCCGTACTCCTTAGATTGGCGACGAAAGTGCTTGTAGTCCGGATTGAAGCGGATATTCATGCCAATGATAGTGAGGCCATGCATGATACCGTCAACTCCCCAGATAGGATGGTTGGCGGGGGGACGTGGAATGTTGTCAATGAAGGTGATGACGGAAGTGGTTTTGGGAATCTCATCGTGGGTCTCCTCATTGACGGTCTTCTCATCGACGATTCTTTTAGCACGAACGCTGTCATCAATCCACTGACGGAGACTGAGAGCACGAGACTTGTCACCGGCGGTGAAGAGACGCTGCTTCTCGGGGGGCTCTCCGTCGGAAATGGAGAGGAGGCGATCGGCCAAGTCTCCATGGCGCTTAGACTGGCCGGCGGTGATGCTCATGTCGTAGTAATCCTGGCAATCTTCCAAGTAGTCGAAGAAGTCGTAGATCTCCCTCTTGAGCAGGATTACGGAAGGATTGTCAGTGGACTTGTTGATTCGGGACATCATGCCGATGCGGGCGATGGTGTTCTTGAGTTTGAACAGGTAGGTGGACAGCTCGTTCTTTTCGCCGGGACCGGGAACCTTGGGGCCGCCGGAGGTGCCACCACCAGCTCCCATACCGCCGACATGCTTTGAGGCAGCGGGGGCCATTGTTAGATTTCAGACTGTTGCTTCGAGGGTCTTCGGGGCGTTGCTGGAGCGTCGTCGATCGGTGTTCTATCCCCTTGTCAGTAAGGTTCTTTGGAGGCAGAAAGAAACGTAGAGTTGTACTCACTAGACTGTAGCCGACGGGTTGTGATGAAAGAAATGTTTTCCCTCACCGGAAGTGCTTGTTGACCAACTCACAAAAGTTGGAGTTTGTGTGAGGTGGCGATAACTGTGAAGCAGGAGAGAAACCTGAAAGAAAGTTCAGGAGGGAAGGAATTTCCAAAGGTGGTGAGGGCAGAGACCAGGCCGCGAGGCACCAACTAGGGCTCAACCGCTTTAGGCTAATTTTGAGGCACAAAAAGAGAGGTCTGATTATGTCGTCGGGGCTGTGATACCATGAACACTCGGGCCCGGAGCGGAGGTGTGGGTCCAAAGCACCGGCGAACGCGAGATGGACTCGGGGTGGGCTCGGGGACGAAGCAGTTACATGCACAAAGGCGAGTATGTTATGTTTCTTGGGAAGACTGAAGCTACGAGGCGAATTTACGTTTGTGTTACAAGTTTCATCATGCAAAGGTATGCATTGCTGTTGAAGTCATCAAAATAACATCACACTATTCAGGTGTAAGTCGGTGCCCCTATTACATACAACAATATCGCACTTCGTGCTAGTCATTTCCACCACACCCATGTGTGAACCCTCCAGCGGCGAATTGCGCTTTATTATTGCCAAAGCATCGCGCTCTGACCCAGATAGGAGTGTTAAAGTCGGCCTTCCACTCATTGCCGTCATCGTCTGGCTCGTCGAAATATTCAAACCTCCACATCGACAGGCCACCACCGATGCAGTCCTTAGCCTCCTTCATCAGCGTCTTCTGACCGAAATCATGGCTCGCCCAGCCGTAGCCGTGCATGACATAGCTGCTCCAGTAGCCATGATACCAGCCCTTGCAGTCGCCGCCGGCCTCCTTGGGGACCGGCCAATGGCGGTTGTCTTTCTGGGGGTTGACCTGGTATGTGTAGTCGCCATGGACGTACTCGCCACCGAACTTCCAGTTCATGGGGTTTTCCGGGTCGTTGCCGTCGCAGTTGTTGATGACGGCCCACATCTTGTCAAGACACTCCTGCTTGTCGTAGTTGGTGCTCCCCTCGGCGATGGAGAGCAGAAAGCCGGTCTCGTCGGGAGTGCCCTTGTGGTATGTCTTCGCGTAGCTCCACCCAGACTGGCCTGTGGGACGAGTCACACTATCACAGAAGTCCTTGTAGTCCTCGTTGAGTCGGTCGCCTGACGCGTAGGCCTTGGACCCGTCTCCATTATGTTGCCAGCATGTGAACTTGTCTTGCGCCTCGCATGAGGGTGCCTCGATGTCCAGAACCGCAGCACGCGTGTCCACGAGAGTCTGTAAAGCGAAGGAAGCGATAGTGTAGTGACCCAGCTCATTGGGGTGGAAGTTCTTGCCGACCCAGTCCGGCAGCCCGATGGACGGGGGCTGGATCTCGTCGTCCGTGTCTCCGGGGCATCCCGGAGGAGAGGGGTTTCGGCGATCCAGCTTGTGCTTGACCTCAGAGCCAGGGTTTGCCGAGTTGAATAGAAGTGAGTTGTAAAGTTCAGTTTCAAGGTTGCGACGGGCGACTTCAGCTAGGGCAGCCCGCCTGGTCTCGGCCAGAGGTCCATACTCTTCCCACCTGCGTTTGAGGTCTGGGTCGTCGTCGCTGACGCTGGTGTCGGGCTTGAAGAATTGCAGGTCGGGCTGCTCAGGGTCGGGGTAGTCGCCTGATCCGTCCGGATCGCACATCTGGCCCTGAACACCGTCGTACACCCATGGATCCCAGTTTGAGAAGCCGATCTTCCACTTATAGTCAGAATTGCTGGAGGTCTCTTCAACGACAGTCCTGATGATATTGTTGATCTGAACCACAAAGTCGTTGAAGGTGTTGCGGCGCTCAATGGTCAGGCCCGAATTGCCCGGCCAGAGCGTGGCATACGCCCAGGGCTGGTTTTGGCAGTCTTCCGTCTCGGTGTTGAAGAATTGAGCGTAGCCATTGTAGATGACGACGCCGTCGTCGTTCATCTTCTCATCCAGAGCCGCCATCAACTGCTTCATGTTGCCTTTGAGGATGGACTCCATGTTTGATTGGGCGATCGCGATGACGCTGTCGCAAGAAGAGTCGCCGCTGGGCACCAAGACACACTTCTCGATCAGCTTGGCGAGGCAAAGGTCGTTGCCTCCGGCTGTCAACATGACCAAGTCCAGATCGCCTTCGAGAGCCTTGATCTGGTTGTAGATGCCGCCCGTTCTGTCGCCGCTGCATCCCACGAATTGGAAGTTCTCGACGCTGGGGCCTAGGGCGTCATTGACGATCATCGGCCAGGCTGTGTCGTAGCGGGAGCAGTACCAATTGGTGTTCTCCGGGTCGTCTAAGATGGGGTTGCCGAGAGGCTTGCCTGAGCCTATGCCCGCCGTGTAGCTATCGCCTACGGCGGCCCAGCGCTTGATCCAGCCATAGTCGCTGGGGTTGTCATCGCGCTTGCCAATGCTACGTTTCTTCTGTCTCTTTGGAGCGAGGAAAGATGTTGATGCGTTGCTGGCTTGAGAGAAGGGCACAACATAGGCCTCCACCAGAGCTAGCCCGAAAGCATGGGCAGCCAAGAGGAGCGCGATCCGCATGGCTGTAGTGAAGAAGCACGTACAAGCGAGAAGGCAGAGCAAAAGTGAGCGGGTGTCTCTGCAGTCAGGGCTTAGAACTAGTAAACGATGTTTGAAAAAAGTGAGATAGAGTCACAGGTGATCTCAGAAACAGAATGCCTAAAGGACGGGAGTCGCGCGAGGGCGCGAGGACGGCTATGGAAGTGAACTCCCAAACTTGAGCTACGGCAGGCTGCGAGAGGGATAGGCACGGGAAATGGAAAACCAACTTCACATTCACAGTATCAGCCCAAGCAATGTTATCCAGACCTGACCCCGGTGATATTCCGACCGGAACGTCGGGGGCGGGTCGGCGGTCGTGGGTTGGGACTTTGGTATCCCTCCTCCCGAAGGATCCCAAAGCCAGGATCTGTGTAATGGTTCATCTCGGCGCTTTGCCACCACAATCATTCGAACTCATGGCTATCTGGTTGCCTAATGCAACAACGGCCACATTATCTCGACTGCCGTTACGTGTGATGTTCTTGGCGTTGAAGAATGCGCCGCCTGCTCGTTGGCCGCTCGAGCCGTGGAGAGCATTTCGGGCCGCACCCCGGTCGCCGGCACATCATCATGGCTTCGGTTTACCTCCATCTTGTCGTTTACGCATTGCCGAAGGAAGCTAGGGCTGACCGGGAAGCCACAATGCTTGATTTTATCCGTAGTCAGGCACCGATCGTAGGATTGCGCACCCACGTGGTGGTGTCTAGCCGGGATCAAAAGCATGCCCCAAGGATGTGTGCCAATTCGGCCATCACACCACGTTAACAAAAGGGTCTTTTGTAAGGGTTCACCACAACTGCGGTGAAAATCCCAAAACGAGCCTTAGCGCTTACTTCAGATAAGCTTCTGTGGGGGAGACTTAATATGCAGGTCCGTTGACCACGGTTATGGGCAACAGTACCGATACAAGCTCGCATTCAAGTGTCGAGCAGGGGTAGGATCCTACAAGCCGCGAGCATGACCACCTGCCCCTGGAATCACCAACAGCCCACGACAAAGATAGGGATGTTTGATGGATACCTTGGCAGTTTCTGTCGACAAGAATACTCTCTGATGCATTCAATGGAATGATCTTAGTCCTTGCCCAAGTTGAGAGCACCGGCGAGAACCCCTTTCCCCCGTTCCTCTCTCTCTTCGATTCAGCCAGATTCCGCCATCTACGTCCTTCTCTTCTCCCCTGAAAACGAAGAAAGCGATTGCCACTCTTTTGTCCTACTTCGTCAACCATGGCTTTGAGTTGCTCCCTTCGACGCCTCGCCCTGGCGTGTTTGGTCTTGGCTCCAGGTATCGCCCAAGCCATCATTGACAGAAATCATACGGCAGCCATGGCCAGACAAGTGCGTTTCCATAGAACTGGAAACTTAGCCAAAAGACAGGATGAAGGTGACGATGACTACGTGTGCACTGCCACCAAAGGCTGCGATATTGGCTGCTGCGGGCCCTTGTAAGTCGACTCTCAACTCCCCCTAACTGAGCGAGTATCGAATCTCCTCTGCCCTCCAACAAGCTGGACTGACACACATGCCCGCAGAGATGAGGAGGGAAATGGAGTATGCGGCCTGGGCCCGGACTTCTGCGGCGACGGGTGCACATCGACGTGCCACTACAAGTCTGAGTGCGATCCGGGCTGGGGCATCGAGTGGTCCAACGCCACTGCCTGCCCCTTGAACGTATGTTGCAGTGAGTATGGCTTCTGTGGCACCGATCCCGGATTCTGCGGCGGTGAGGTCGTGTCCTCGCCGCAGTGTGATATCGCGGCCGGCAGCTCCAATGGTCGTACCATCGGCTACTACGAGGGATGGAACTCGCAACGCTCCTGCGGTACCATGACCCCAGAAGAGATTCCCAAGGGTTATTATACCCATTTGTTCTACTCATTCTCGCTGATCAATCCGGAGACCTTCCGTCTGGAACCCATGGACGACACCACGGGCAGTCTATACGGCTCTGTCTCCGCCCTGAAAACAACGCAGCCTGAGTTGCAGGTCTGGCTCGCCATCGGCGGGTGGGCCATGAACGACCCGGGCGCGTGGCGGACGACCTTTTCGGATTTGGCCGCGAGCGAGAGTGCTCAGGATGAGTTCTTTGAGAGCTTGGTCACCTTCATGTCCACCTATAACTATGACGGTGTCGACATCGACTGGGAATACCCTGTGGCCGAAGACCGTGGTGGTATCGAAGCCGACTTTGACAACTTTGTCAACTTCATCTCACGCCTGCGCAACCGCTTGAATAATCTTGGCACGCCAAAGGGCTTATCCATGACCCTCCCTGCATCATACTGGTACCTGAAGGGCTTCGACATTATCAACTTAGAGCCCCATGTCGACTTCTTCAACGTCATGACTTATGATATCCACGGTGTCTGGGATTCAACCATTGAATCTTTGGGTCCTTACGCCCACGCTCACACCAACTTGACCGAGATTGAGGAGGCTCTCAAGCTTCTCTGGCGAAACAACATCAACCCGAGCCGTGTCAATCTTGGTCTCGGCTTCTACGGCCGTTCTTTCACCATGAAGGACCCGAGCTGCATGGCGGCAGGATGCGAGTTCTCAGAAGGTGGCAACGGCGGAGCTTGCACCGGGACTGCTGGCGTCTTGTCTGCCCATGAAATCATGCAGATCATCGAGGACGGCGCGACCATGACTTTAGACCCCGTGGCTGGCGTGCAAATTGTCACCTGGGACTCGAATCAGTGGGTCTCATGGGATGATACCGAGACACTGAAAATGAAAGTGGACTACGCCAACCAAAGATGTCTGGGAGGCGTCATGATCTGGGCCGTCGATCTTGACGATGGCACTCTGATCAAAAGCCTGTCGGAAACTGGCAGGGAGACAACCATCATACTCGACGACCCTCCGGCGATCTCGGCCTGCTTCGGGACCACGTTGGAGGACATCTCCGGCAACGTCACGGATGCGAGTAGCTAGGCGTCTGGGCTGGGAGGTCAACCGGCGTGCTCTTTTTGTGTCCTGTAGTCTACCCTCAGTCAAAGCTGTTGACATCTTCAATTGATTCTATTCATGCCTACTTAATGTTCTATTCGAAATGGATGTGTCCTCAAGGTGCCTCTGTGTTATCACATGAATGATTGTGAATGCCATCAGGCCTTGAAATATGATTCAACGACACTTGTTTCGCGTGTTGAAAGTCTGAACAAATTGACGTGGAAAGAAAGATTGGTAGTCAATCTACGAAGCTTAAGTATGTACAGTAATGCTATCCGACAACCAACCATGCTCACAAGCACCCCGAGCCGCCAGAGGGACCAGACTGGCTAGTTTTGTACACCTTCTTGAAATTGGTCAAGGAATTGAGAAGATCGAGTTTGGTTCCTTCAACATTGGCGTACATGGCGTTCAAGGCGGCGATGTCCAAGCTGCTGGGCGCTAGGTTGATGGGGATTCTGCTGCCGTCCGGCTTCATCAAGATAGCATCTCGATTGTCGTTCTGAGGTGTGGGTTGGCCATTTGAGTTGCCTCCGGCACCCGAGGGGTAGATCATGATAGACTGCCAGTCGACGTCGTTCTCGCCGTGGCCGTTAGAGTGCGGGGTGCCGACTCCTGGCATAGGCAGGTATTCACTGGCGCTGAACATGTTACCCTTGGCAATTTGCCAATTACTGCACAACTGTTGGATTGTAATATCTCGAAATCCGCCTCCACCGGTCTGGACTCGAAAACCACCATTCGCATACGTGTAGTAGTCCTTGAGGTTGTCACAGTTCCAGCCTCCCGGGTTGTTGGGGCCGAAGACTTCGCCAGCGTCGGCGCCAGCAACACCCGCCCAGAACTTGGGATTTTGGTGTTCGTGATAGAGTCCCCAGGCATGACCAAGTTCGTGAGCAAAGTTGCCAACGACATCCAGCATGCCGATTTCAGTGCTGTCGCTGAGCAACATTTGTGGCCCCCCGCCGATCGTGCTGCTGGGGAACCCAACGGTGGTGGCCAGGACACCCTCGCGGTAACCCACCGTCAGGACTTCGGTGGCCTCGGATGTGCACACGTTGTCGTTGACCTCCTCGATTCTGAAGTTGCTGTCCAGTCCTTTGGAGATCCAGATTTTGCGCGCATCCTTCAGATATTTCTTCAGCGTGCTCTTTTGCGCCGCGGTCGTCTTCTTCTCGAAGCAGTAACGAATCACGCGGTTGGGCCACGGCAATGATTGGTCTCTGGTAACATAATAGTACCGTTTGTTCAGCATGGAGCTATTGCTTCTGCTGATGAGCGCCGGTTGCCAGATGGAACTTCCAGCCAGCACATGGCTGCCAGACAGGAGGCAGAAAAGAGATAAAACGAGCGTAAGGGGCACCATTCTTTCCGTGAAGAGACGTTTGAAAGAGAGACTGATGTGATGACGGTGTCAAGACAAGATGTTGCACAGAAAGCAGACGAAGGGGAGGCCAGGAGAGGTAAAGTGAGCTGGCGGCAGCTTGTGTGTCGACTCGGAGACGTTCGTCCGACAGATTCACCTGCTTGCTTCTTCACACAACCCCTGCTGACTGCAGCCTGGACATCGCGGGCCATCATCGCGTTTAAAGCCCGCCCGTCCCCGCGTAATCTCCATAGCGGCCGGCTCTATCGGTCAAGGGGGCCCCGGTCTTGTACCGGTACATGCCCCGCTTCCCACCCACCTTCCCGGCTCCTTCGCCGGAGATATCGCCAAGTCTATACCGTCGTAAGATTCCTCATCCTTTGGGACAAAACATTCTCTGCAGAAGCGCAGAATTGCGCATCAGGCACACACGATGCAGATGTTCAATAGTTCCATATTGCACATCTGATTGATGAAAATTCGGTCCTTCCGAATCCTACAACGCGCCAGAGGCGTGAGATTAATGTTACTTTCGGTATGGATGTGAAGGACCACCATCTGGAGATACGCGGCATCATGGTTCACGAAAAGAACTTTTGTCACTAGATGGTGCCTCGAAGCTCTTGCAGATGTTCGACCTGATACCCGCGTCGTCCCGCCGAACTCAAAGTTCACTGGCGTGTTCTCTAGCGATCGGACAACTCGATTCTGTCCACTCTCCCATCGACGTCTGGCTGTTATCACTCTTTTAGCTTCACGGTCGACATGAACACGCAATTCAACATGATCCAAAGCCTCAGATTTCGGGTAGCTGCCACTTTGGTTATCGTCGTGGGCTATCAGCATGCCCTCGCCCAGGACACATCGCCGTCCGGCGCCACAATGGATGGAATAGCCTGGGACTGCAGCGGTTGGCACACCGTCGTCTCTGGCGACACATGCTATTCCATCGAGCAGCAGTACGGCATCACAGAGGCCGAATTTCTTGCGTGGAACCCGGCCGTGTCCAGCGACTGCGGTACCAACTTCTGGCCCGACTATTCATACTGCGTAAGGGTCGGAGCCCCGGGTCCGACGATGGAAGGCATCGCAAACAACTGCGATGCTTGGCACACCGTTATCTCGGGAGACTCGTGCTACAGTATAGAGCAGGAATACAGCATCACGGCCGATCAGTTCTTCGAGTGGAATCCGGCTGTGTCGACTGACTGCGCCACCAACTTCTGGCCAGACTACAGCTATTGTGTCGGTATCAACGAGAACCAAGGCTCCACGACCAGCAGTGCCTCCTCGGCAACTGTCACTTCGACTGCCGCTATTACAAGCAGCACAAGGACGAGCGTGAACACCACAACGACTCCGTACTCGACACGGTATCCCGTCACTTCGTTCAATCTCACGGCGCCGTACACAGCTACGGCCCTGCCTCCACAGCGGACTCTCTCCGGTCAGCCGAGTTACTGCAATGCATGGCACATGGTAGCGGGAGGCCAGACGTGTGAGGATGTTGTCAACTACTATAGCAACAGACTGACGCTCGAGCAACTGTAAGTCTGAATCTTCTAGACGTCTGACTTAAACTGCGACTGACTTAATGCTCTTTGCTTTCAAGCCTCGAGTACAATCCTACTATTGGACAAGATTGCAGCGGCTTGTATACAGGCTGGTACATCTGCGTCGGCATCCAGTCCCAAACCTCGTCGAGGATAGAGTGGTACACGTCTCAGACCAACTTCACCGCGCCGGCGTCTACACCCTATCCTGGCTATGTAGCCACTGCTGTTGCCAACTACACCGCATCTCCGCAGCAGACGGGCATCCCCAGCAGCTGCCAAAACTACTACCAGGCCCAGGCAGACGATACTTGCACGACCGTTCTCGATGTATACGACTACATCACGGAGGAGCAATTCTTTAGCTGGAACCCAGCCCTCAACGGTGACTGTCTGGGTCTCTGGTCCGGCTACTACTACTGCGTTGCCAACTTTGCGGCCGCGAGCGATGTACCTATGCCTCCCACAGTCACGAGCGGAGCATCTCCCACGGCTACAGGAACCATTAGCACCTGCGAGAAGTGGTATATCACCCGGGTCAACGACGACTGCGCCACCGTCGCCGCATGGTTCGGTACCTTCTCCGAGTCCGACTTCATCTCCTGGAACCCGAGTGTCGGGTCATCATGCGCCAACATCCAACAGGACACGTATTACTGCGTAGGTGTTCCAGGAACGGCCACAACGCGCTCCAACGCCGTGACGACAACTGTGCCCGCGAGCATGCCGACTCAGACGGGTGTCGTGTCTGGCTGTACTCAATTTTGGCTTGTGTCGCCGTCCGACACGTGTGATACCATTATCGAGGACAGCGGCGTCGCCAACGCCACTATCTTTCACGCCTGGAACCCGGCCGTCGGGTCTGATTGTGCTGGTCTGAAGGTAGACTACTACGTTTGTGTCAGTACCAGTGAGTGGGAGACCATCGCCCCCATCAGCACTGTTACTATCTCGGCCGGCCAAACCATTGTACCCAGCACGACGGTTGCCTCAAACTCGGCGTCAGCGTCTGCATCTTCGTCTACGACATCGTCTGCTGGCGCCTCGACGACGACCAGCACTGCCGTGACAACGCCGTCGCCGTTCATGCCGGGTATGGTAGACGGATGTGTCAGGTTCTACTTCCGCGGCAGCGATGCAGCCGCCCTGTACTGCTATGATATCGCTTCATATGCGGGCATCGCCCTCAGCGACTTTTACACATGGAACCCGCAGGTCGGCACCGATTGCACCAACCTGTGGGCTGATACGTGGTATTGCATCGGCCTCTCGGGGTCGACTCCGACGACGATCTCATCGGGTGTGCCTACTCCGGCCTGAACTGCGTCCTAGAGAGACTATTAAGGCTTTTATTTTTATGTATATATGCATCGAATCAATTTCATCTTATTGTTACTTGTGCTCAGAAGTTAACCTAACCAACTCCCTTGGGGCGCTTATTTGGCATGAAAGTAATTACCGGGAGACTAACTACTAGAATAAGTATAGGCTTCGCTCTGATTAATCTCTGGCTTTCAAACATTGATGCCGTACACTGGAATCTACAAAAACGGAGACAGTTGGGTTAGAACATGAGCTATGGGAAGAGTCAAGTTGGCAAACTGCACAAGGGGTCAATTGCCCTGGACTTCTTCTAATAGAAGCTCAGACGCCCATGTTAAGCAAGCCCATCTCCGTAAATCTGTTTGAGTCTCCCTATGTTTCTGAGAAGCAACTGACCATCTTGGAAACATTTTTCACCTCACTCCTAGTAAATCGAGATATTTGACAGCATCTCGTCTAATCTTTCCACTGAAACTATCAAATAGAGAAGGAAACTTCCAGCCTTCGGGTGAGGTGTATTATTGAATTAAGTAGCTGGTTTTCAGAAGAGCTCTAGAATACGATCAGATAAAATACCGCTTGATTGGGAAACACCCCTGAACTCCCCGTGTAATCCGTCCTTGCAAGTGCATACATTTTCAAGACACAAGATGGGCCAATCGTGAGCTTCTTGCCTAGACCTTTCTGGGCTATTAATGGTCGTTTTCAGGGAAGGCTTGGATTGATATGAGCACAATCAAAACCTGTGAAATTAATGAGATCTTGGATGCGTTTAGCTCGCACCTCAACGGTCACCTCAGGTGACATCGCGAATGCAGCTATAGGTTCTCTTTCAATTGTGTAAGCGAGCCCACTCTCAAATCAAATAATTGCAATCTACTTCGCAAAGCCGTTGACCTTTACTCGCTCAAAAGCTTTGGAGTAGACGCAAATATGTGCGTCAAGACATGGCTCTTCTTCTGCAGGTCCTAGAAAAGGTTGAAGCTGCAACTTTCAGTCAATTCTTTGCGGATCAACGGGAATAAAGAGACAACATATGCTCCACCCAACAAAAAATAGATTGTTATGCAGCCTGATCACACTTGATACTCAAAAAGGGAAACGCAAAGTGAAGACCCATCTTTACGCGACGTCCATTTCGAGAACCTGCAGGAATACCCCCTCATTGTTGGTGCTTTGAGACCTTGGCAACGGCTACCTACAGACAATTTGACAAACAACAGTACCTGCCACATCGGCACATAGAAGAAAGGGGGTTGCACGGCAGAGAGCTCTTGAAAAGTGTCACGGTTCCTCTCCCTTTGCATTTCCGTGCTTCCTCAATTCTCATCTTTCTGTTTCACCGCAGTCCTCTATCCGACCGTTTCCCCTGCCGCCACGATGGCGCCCCTCCCGCCGTCTCTGGCAGACTTGTACTACTCGTACAAGGATTCTACGAACTACGTACTTGGGTGGATGCGGTTGAACTGCCGACCGAGCGAAGCTGTACCGGCGGAAGAGAAATTCAGAACCACGGCGGAAATCATCAACGCGGCCAAAAGAGTTCGGGACCTGAAGAAGGAGGTTCCTCAGTCTGTACTTGCATCACTCGCAGATGCCATCAAAACCCGGCAAAAGGTCCTTGAGATTGTCAGAGGCTTAGAGGTATCTGCAAACGGCCAAAATGATGCCGACAGCGACCGCACACATGCGGCGTTCATCCAACGGTGAGCATCTTTCATCAGTTTCTCCCCTGCTGGTTCAATTCGGGCGCTTGTAATCTTGTTCCTCTCGCTAATAAAGGCAGGTTGTCCAATGTTCTCGAGATCTTGATGCCGCTGCGAGCAGCGAACGCGACAAGCTCTGTGCCTTCACCAGATGAAGCCTGCATGATGCACACCATCAACCGATTTGATGGACTTGATCTGCTTCAAAATGTTGAGTCCAGCGACTCTGAGAGCGACGGTAGCGACGGTCCCTTAGAGCCCTCGGCGATTGAGGAACCTGCCGAAGAAGTCTCCGAGAATGAATCTA